TGCAGTGGAGGTCGACCATGGATCTGCTCAGTCTGCAGCTGTACCAAAGACTTGACGTCTCTGTCTGATCCTCCATCGCTTTTATCATCTGCTCGGTCGCTTGCCTAGCAAATGCAGCAGTCTCTTTTCCGCCCTGCCTTTCGGGTTCCCAGCACTCTTTGCATTCCCTGGTCTGTCTCTCACCACGCTGCAGCACCTCCTGGAACATGTCTTCTTTGCTGTGCCTAGGGTTCCTCCTTATCTGCTGGAGCCTGTCCACGGGGGTGCGTGGCGTGTTCCTCAAGGTCTTTGCTGAACAGAAGAGGGATGGTTACATTCCAGCAAATGATTGAAACATTTTAGTAACAAGGGCCTTTTGCTAGTAGAAATCACCTTCTCTCTGACACTCTAGGCAGGCACACAGCTCCGCGAGCACCCCAATCATGCTGAGCGTGGGGAGTGGGGGGAAGGCGGCTGTGCGTACGGACAAAATGGTCACGGCTTGCAGGGCAGCTTTGCAGGGAACTCATTCTAAGATTATCACACACTTTTTCACAGGTGGCCAACCCGCTGGCTGACATCTCGCTGCTGCGGGTTACCAGGGAAACCAGAGCACAACTGCTGAAAGCTTGCGGCTTTCACTCTGGTCTATATGCAGCTCAGCTATGTGCCGCTTTGGTCCCAGCTCCAGTGATTGCTAAATGGCATGGTACAGTTTCCTACAATGGGGGAACTAACAAGGCTGCAATCCCTTGGAATCTGCAGCAGAGGATAAACAAGTACCTCTTGGAAACTTTCCAGAACTTCTCTCTGGAGGATTCCCTGCAGGTCTCGATGTCCATTGAGACCCTGGTTGGCCATGCAGATTAGCTACACAGGGCAATGTCCAGCTCACAGAAAATACTACCTGCCTCCCACTTTTCGATTCCCTACACAACCCACAGCAACTTACCCGACGTCTCATCTGCTCCTGCTCCCAGATGAGCTCTTGTGGTGTGGAGAAAAGTTCCTGGCTGCCTGCTGAACCAGGCAACCCCGCTGGGAGAACAACATCCTCTTCTAGCTCGACTTCTTCATCCAGAATTTCAGCCTCTGGGTTACCTCCTCTTTCCGCTGCCTGCAAAGTATCCACGGGGCTATCAGCGATGGAGGTGGGGTCACCACTGAGGATAGCATTCAGCTCCTTATAGAAGCGGCAAGTCTTAGGTGCACCACCAGAGCGATGGTTCTCCTTTGCCTTATAGTACGCCTGCCTCACCTCCTTTATCTTCGCTGTACACTGCTGCATGTCCCAATCATAGCTCTTTTCGCACAAGCCTCGATAAATTTGCTTTTATGTGTCCCAATTGCTACGGGTCAATCGCAGCTGTGACTGAACAGACTCCTCTCCCCATATACTGATCAGATCCAACAACTCAGAGGTGGTCCAACTGGGAGCGCGTTTGGTGCAACAGCCAGCCATGCTGACCTGGGAAGCCACCTGGGAAGCTCCTCTGGGAAGCCAGAAAGCAGGAAATGAAATTTTAAATTCCTGGGGCTTGCAAGGGGGAGGGACGGGTTGACTGCAGGGCAATGGAGTTCAAACCGCCGACCAGAGCAATAGCATGGGAATTGTGGGATACTTTCTGGAGGCCAATAAAATCGGGGGAAAAAAAGCTGTGGTGTCTACACTGGCTGTTTGTTGACAATAAAGGAAGGGGAAAAGACAAAAGTCTCTCACTGGGGTGGTAGTTTTTTGTCGCCAAAACTAGGTATCTGTTTCGAAAAAAAGTCATATTGCAGTGTGTAAACTATCACTGTTTTGGCGACAAAACTTGCCAGTGTAAACAAGCCCTTTGTCTCAAGAGATAAAGAAGGTACTAAAAACAAATTGTTTTGACACTGGAAATACATTTTAAAAATAGGGTTGTTAAGTGATTAAAAAAATTAATCACGATTAATCACGGGATTAAAAAATTAATCGCAGTTTTAACCGCACTGCTAAACAATGTTAGAATACCATTTATTTAAAAAATTTGGGGGGGTTCTATATTTTCAAATATAGGCTGGGAGCTCTGGGCTTCAGCCCTCCTTGGGGCATCAACCCACTCAGAGCTCCAGGCTTCTGTCCCTCCACCACCCACAGAGCTACAGACTGGGGCTTCAGCCCCTCTACAGCTCCAGGCTGGAGTTTCAGCCTGCCTGCCTCCCCACCCACCTTGGAAAGCTCTGGGCTGGGGCTTCAGCGCCTCTGCCGCCGATGCGTCCCTCCCCACCCACAGATATGCAATTAATGCGTTAATTTTGTTTTCAGTTAATTCACAGGCATTAACTTTGATTAACTGACAGCCCTATAAAAACCTATTTCAAAATATACACTGGAGTGGAGTGCAATAAAACTATAGCAACCATATACAATTGACAGACTGTTATACCTAAGCTTGTCTCATAAGGGCCCTGTGGCAAAGCTACACTGGGTAGAAGAAAGGCATATTCTACTTAGAGGACCTAAAGTGTGAGATTTCTCTATTCTTATAGCACATAACTATAGCAACATAGATTGTGAGTTAAATAGGTCCTTACTAAAACTAAAAAATATTTTGAGGTTAGATCCTGCAAATGGATCTGCCCAGGTACACCTGTGTGGAGTCTGACTTAAATGGGCTCTGGATGACTGCAGGAGTCTGCCCACATGGGTCCATTTGCAGGTTTTAGTCTTATCTTGAAGGTAATGGGAGATCTATGTGAAGAAAGATTGCAGGATTTAACACACCACTGATGATAAATTTTAGATTGTAAACTCTCTTGGGGAGAGGGAGAAAGGAGTCTGGTGCCTAAAATGTGCTAGGTGCCATTTTAATAAAATAACAGTCCTCTTTAAGATCTAGCTGTTGTGACTCACCATGGGAGAAAAAGTATATACTGTAAATAACCCAAACAGCAACTATTCATGTGAGTATCAATTACTGTAAAAGTTTAGCACTGCAATACTCTTGCTATTTTTCTTTAATCTTACCTCCAGGACATTTTGGGATGAACCAATGTAAACAGCTTTATTCCATTTTATTTTTTCCATTCCAGAAAAATCAAGCTTGCTGCCTTGATAGTAGCTTCATATTTAGGATGTCCCATTGCTGTGCATTAAACATGCATGCAATCTAAACTTAAAATGGAGGGGGGGAAATAATTACTCTTCCACTATCTTTTACCACACCAAATACATAAGGGCCACAAATCCTTTTAAGGCTTAGCTGTAAAATATAACAAAGCTACAAATAGCTGCAATAATAAGCTCCTTCTTAGTGTGTCACAGCTCTTTTTTTGAATAGCTTACCTTTTAGATTTTCATCGCTTGGTTTAATGCCTTGATTTGTTCAAGATGCTTTCTATACAACCTGTTTACCTTGGACTTCTTTTGTACCCAGTGATATAAATACTGTAGGCTGAAGGTAAAAGTGAAGTACTGTTATAGCCATTCCTCCCTGAGAACTTTGTGTGTGCATTTATTTGTCTTTGCTTTGTTACTTTTTTCACTTAGCCCTGGTAGACACTTAAAATATAGATTAACCTAGCTGTGTTCTCAAAGGCATGAAAAATTCCAACCCCTCTGCCCCCCATCGTTAAGCCAACGTAACACCTGAGGTAGATGCTGCTAGATCAATGGAAGAATTCTTGTGTCAACCTAGCTACTGCCACTTAGGGAGGTGGCTTATTACATCAATGGAAAAACCCCTTCCACTGATGTAAGCAATCTACATTATGATGATACAGCAACATAGCTGCAGCTGTGCCACTGTAGCGTAGATATGCTCTAACAGTAGTCTTGTCTGTGCTGTTCCTTGTAGTTTATCCACATTTGTTTTTATCTATGTATTTATTTAAATGCAGTGAAATTGCAATTAAATGGTGTGGAAAGTTTAAGACCAATGTTTTACACTCATCATTTGAGGATCTTAAAGCAGTTTAGAAACTAAATCGTATAATCCCAGTCAAGTAGATGAAAAATATATGTACTGATACTGCACATAGTAAACTGAGACACAGAGAAGATAATTCTCAAGATCACACAATGATTAGTGGCATTCCTGGGAATGGAACTCAGGAGTGCTGACTTCCATTCCCTCACTCTAATCACTGGCCACCCTACTTCTCACATTTGTACATAGTGAGATCTTCTGTGATGTTCTGTCTGAAGCTGTATCTGGACATAATAGAGCATGACACAAATGAAGTGAGAGACTCTGTATTGTACTGTCAACCTAAGCAAACATGAACATGAAACAAATCAACCCAGAAAGACACTAATAACTTCTACTTTATTTTGACTGTTTTTTTTCCACTTCTATTTTTGTGTTATGATAATTTTGTTTTGTTGCTCAATTTCCTTGTTCTGGCTTTCTTTTTCTTTGCAATGGCTATATTTCTTTACAATACTTCACTGTTTAGCTATTTGGAATTTGGCTTAGTTTGTTCCCTACATATGTTCACTTTTTCTATGACTGTGTGGCTTCTTCTCTCTCCTATAACGGTAAGCTTTGTGTGGATTCTTCTCTCTATTACAAGTTTAAAAATTAATCAGCAGTCTCTTATCAATATCACTTATCCTGGGATCACTTTTCCCTTTCCTCTCTATTTTTTCTTGGGTTTCTTTTGTCTCATGTTGTCTTGTTTATCTCATATTTTACAACTCTTTATATAAAGTGCACAGTGTAGGCTCTGCCAGAACCTATCTCCTTGACACAGTATTATACAAATTAAGTATGTCTGTATAACTAATGTTTAAATGGCTTAAAATTACTTGTTTTTCTGGGCCAGATTTTGCAGTCAGATGTGCATACAACTCCTATTAAGGCCCTGAGAGTTGTATACGTGCATCTGAGGGCAGAACTGGACACAAGGTTTAATATAACAATTTAATAAAAACTACTCTACAGGAAAAGTTCAGTTCATGTTTATAAAACATGCCTTTTGGTGTGTGTCAGGGTCTTGCTCTTTGGAGATATCATATCGGTTTTATTTGTTGGTCTTTTTTCTTTTTGCAGGACAAGGCCTGTGGCAGTGGGAAAGAGGGGAGAATAAAGGTATGTCTACAAGGGAAAATTTTAACAGTTATACTACTATAGTTAAACTGTTATAATGCCCCATGTGGACACATTTTCTGGTATGAGTGCCTTTTTTTTTTTTTTGATTGAGCTTCAACCCTCACCAAAATGACATAAATTAAACTAAAATAAGACACTTAGGCCAGGACTACACTAGAAAAGTTTGGTGTTATCACAGTGTTGGTAAGGAGGGTGATTATTTATTACAATTTTATACCAGAAAAATCCTAATGTAGATGCAGTTATACAGGCTAATAATTTTATCTAGCTGTTATATAGTGCTTTTCAACAGCAGATCTCGAAGTGCTTCACAATCTTTTAATGTATTTATTCTCAAAAAGTGTATTTACCAGTATAGCTTATTTTGTTCTGGCAATTGGCATAAGCTATGTTGTCAAAAGCATGGTTTTGCTAGTATAAACTGCATCTACACTGGGAGAGTTTGCTGGCATATCTATGCCAGCAAAGCTTTTCTAGTGTAGGTTAGTCCTTAGGCTGGCATAAATTTCCACACATAGAGGTATACTGCTATATTGGTTTAAATTCACACCTTAGTTGTTTATACTGGTATTTTCCTGTGTAGACAAGCCCTAAATATGACGGATTGGAAAAAACCTCCATGCCATCACAGGCCTATTTAGGCAAGAGTTATTGGTGTTGAGTTAACTGATCTGCAGTTAACATGATTGTAAATGCAAACATATATGCTCTACAAAGTATTGTTCCAGGACACAATGTGGCTGAGACTTGACTTACGTTTAGAAAATTAGGTTGGTTTAACTATGTTGGTCAGGGGTTTGAAAAATCTACCCTTGAGCGGCAAAGTTAAGCTGACCTAAATCACTGTGTAGACAGCGCTAGGTCGACAGAAGAATTCTTCTGCCGACCTAGCTAATGCCTCTTATGGAGGTGGATTACCTAGCTAACAGGAGAATCCCTCCTGTTGCCATACGTAGTGTCTACACTGAAGCGCTATGGGGGGGCCATTGTAGTGTTTTAAGTATAGACAAGCTCTGAGCCTTTGGGCTTGTTTCCATTAAACTTTTATACTGTGAGTTAACTGACTGCTAATTAACTTGAGGTACTTAACACATTTGCAAAGGCTAGTCTTACACACTTTCCATACATTTGTTCTAGGCTACAACTGTTGCTTAACTAGTAAAGTTTACAAACTTTAAGCCTTGCAATCCAGTCAGCTAGATACAAGAAACATATTGATATTACAGATCTGTAAACTGGTAAAGAACAAACATCTGTAGCCCAGAACAAACATGTGAGAGGTAATATCTGGTAGTAATACATAGCTCTTATATTATGCTTTTCATCAGTCGATCTCAAAGAATTTGTCAATTTTTAATGTATCCATGCTTGCAACACCCCTGTGCAGGAAGGCCTTACCTAACATCACACAGGAAATCTGTGGTGATCAGAGAATTGAATGCAGGCTTCCCATGGTCTAAGCTAGTGCCTAACCACTGGACAATCCTTCTAGTGTACAGATCGGAAAATGGTATTAACACAAGTTAATGTGTACATACAGATGGCTGGAGGGAGGGTAATACAGTGTTGCCACCTCTCACGATTTTTTCATTAATAGTGAGGTTTGGCCAGGGCTGGAGTGAGGCCATGTCTACACTACAAACTGTGGTAGACACAAGTTATGTAGGCACACAGCTGCCAAAGTTTGTGTATCACTCAAATGCATGCATACTTGGTGGCTTGCTTTGGTACAGTATGTATTCACCTAGCATGCTTGCGTCCATGTAAAGTGCAGCGCTCCACAGATAAGTATCCTGGTGCAGTGTGCCACATGCTGCCAACTACTGCAATGTCTTTTTTGGGAATTTTTCACAGTGTGTTGTGGGATAAAAAGGATTTGCCCAGGGATGTCTAGGAGCTTCAGGTAAACTTCCTAGCATGCAAATTTATCCTCCCATAATGCCATCCAAATCCCATAATTTTCATGCCTTTAAAAAATCCCACAAACCTGTACAGCACTTTTCATTGTCTCCTATCTCTGACAGGAGCATGGAGCCTGCAGAGTTCTGCGCTATTCTCATGAATGTTGCAAATACAGGATGCATGATTCTCCTGTATTTACAGACCCACAGGAAGTACTGCAACAATGGGGAACATGTAGATTTCTTCGCAGACAGTTTGCTGAGAAACAGAGAAAAATAATTCAAGGTTGTTGGTGGCATTCACAGAGCAGCTGCAGACACAGGAGTGCTGCTTCTGGGGCCGAGAAATGAGCACTAACTGGTGGAATCACATCATAATGCAGGTTTAGGATGATGAGCAGTGGTTGCAGCATTTGCATCCAAAAGGCCACATTTTTAGATCTGCGTGCCAAGCTTGTTCCAATCCACCAGCATATGGATACCAGAATGAGAGATCCATTAACAATGGAGAAGCAAGAGGTGATCGCACTCTGGTAGCAATCCTGTACTGAAAGCTTCCAGTCAGTGGGAAATCATTTTGGAGTTGGAAAATCCTCAGCTACGGTGGAGGCCATCACCATGCAAGCATGTAGGGCCATTAACCATCTCCTGCTAATGCAGGCCTGTAACTCTCAGCAACATGCAGAGAATTGGGGGAGGGATAGCTCAGTGGTTTGAGCATTGGCCTGCTAAACCCAGGGCCATTTAGGGATCTGGGGCAAAAATTGGGGATTGGTCCTGCTTTGAGCAGGGAGTTGGACTAGATGACCTCCTGAGGTCCCTTCCAACCCTGATATTCTATGAATAATGGATGGATTTTCAAAAGTGGGGTTCCAGAACTGCAGTGGGGCAGCAGACTGCATAGGCATGTATATCCTTACTTGTGGCAGCAGCCCACTTTTCTACAGAGTAAACCAGGGGTGGGAAAACTTTTTGGCCTGAGGGCCACATCTGGATGGGGAAATTGCATGCAGGGCCATCAATGTGGGGTTGGGGTGTGGGAGGGGTGCGGCAGGGGGCTCAGGGCAGGGGGTTAGGAGGCTCAGGACAGGAGTTTGGGGTGCAGGAGGAGTGAGGGGTGTGGGCTCCGGCCCTGTGCCGCTTATCTGGGCCCCTGGGGGAGGTGGGGTGCAGGTACCTCCCTGAAGCTCCCATTGGCTGCAGTTCCCCATTCCCAGCCAATAGGAGCTGCGGGGGAAGGTACCCGCAGGCGAGGGCAGCTCACGGAGCCCTCTGTCCCCACCCCACCCCACCCCAAGGGCTGCAGGAACATGGTGCCGGCCGCTTCCGGAAGTGGCGTGGGGCCCATGGCGCCACAGGGTGGCAATCCTGGATCTGGCCCATAGTTTGCCCACCCCTGGAGTAAACCAACAGAAAGGGCTACTTTTCTATGGTCATGCAAACATTGGTGGATCATGGGGGGGATGTGTCATTAATATTAATGTGGGCTGGTGAAGGAAGGTGCATGACATTTGCATTTTTAAGAACTCGGGAATGTCCAGAAAGTTGCAAGCAGGGATGTTTTTTTCTGACTTGTGGATTACCATGGGCAATATCGAAATGCCAATAGTGATTCTGTGTGACCCAAACTCCCCTTGTTCTTCTGAAGGAGTACTTGTGGCACCTTAGAGACTAACCAATTTATTTGAGCATGAGCTTTCAAATGTAGCTCACGAAAGCTCATGCTCAAATAAATTGGTTAGTCTCTAAGGTGCCACAAGTACTCCTTTTCTTTTTGCGAATACAGACTAACACGGCTGTTACTCTGAAACTTGTTCTTCTGGCTCATGAAGCTGTACACTGGCCACCTTAACAGCACCAAGGAAAGATTCAACTGCTGGCTCAGCCGGTGAAGAATGATAGTGTGGTTTTGGTGGATTGAAGGGACACTAGCAGTGTTTACTCACTAGAATGGATCTCAGTAAGAAAAATATCCCAATGGTTGTAGCTGCCTGTTATCCTGTATAATGTCTATGAATATGATTTTGTTATACTAAAATAAAGCAAATTTCACAGAACAATCATAGGGAAAAATGTACAAAATCAGGGTATGGTTATGGGAGAGCTGAAGCCAAAGCCTGAGCCCTGCTGCCTGGGGCTGAAGCTAAAGAAGACATGGAGATCTGTTAAAGTCATGGAATCCATGACCTCTGTGACCAAACTGTATCCTTAATAATGACTCTGAGAGAAAGGGAGAAAAGCGACTGCCAGGATGGAGGGAAGACGAGGTTCTGCTATCTGCTGAGTTTGAACAGCCAGACACAAGGGCTATTACAAGAGCCCAACATAGAGCTGTGTAATTGACGGAGGCTTTGAAAGAGCACTTTAATGGTCAGAGACAGTATTGTTCTGTGGTGATATTGTCTGGGCCTGCAGCTTTGGGTGCTGCTAAGAACTGTATAGTGCTTGCTATAAATTTATAAATATGACTTTGTGTCTTCCGAAAGCTCTGAATTACTGTATGTGGTTTTTAATGTGCATTTACAAGTATTGTTTGTTTTGACTACCGCTATGCATTCTGCAAAATTTGTTGTGAACTAATACAGTAATTTGATTCTCCAAAATATAGAATTTTAGGGTGGGGAGGGAGGAGTGCAGAAATATGTTAAATTTTTTTTTTTTAAATCCAAAGGCAACATATATAAAATTTTCATGTAATGGGACAAAAATTTAAAATGAGAAAGGAAATAAATGCTTATGTCCATTTGAGTGCACAAATGTAGCCCATTATTGATACACATAAACTGACCTGTATGAATCAAAGCTATTGTATGTGAAACAGTGGTTTTCCTTACTGTTTCCTGGCATGCAGTGGTAGGGGTAGTAATGTGACATGTGATATGTTGGAGGATATAGTGAATGGCAAACATGGAGTCCTCCAAGGACTACAGAGGGTGGAGAGTCTGGGATTTTTTGACCTACAGAGGTCAGCCAAGGTCTGTAGCATTTAGGATTGCTGCCTGAGAAGACCCTTTATGTCTTGGTGGCATTTTCTTCTCCTTATCCTGTTGGGACTCCTGGGCCCTGTTTCTTCTCCTCTTTCTCTATGCTCTTGGTCATATTGGCCCTCCAAGCCCTTTGTTCACGGTCCAATGCAGCACTGGCTTGACATGTTCTGCAAGATCCTGCTTCCCTCATCCTCTTTCTTCTCCTCCTCCTCAGGGTCAGGTGTTCTACAGGCATGGAGGGGCACCCTTCAAGGCTGCCATGCCAGATGTGTCATTGGATTTACAGTCACAATGCAAAGGGAAAAATGTTTCAAAACTCCCTTCTTTTATTCCAATAAATACTTTGAATAAGAAATGCTGATTGACACTTTAGCTTCAGAGTGCCTTGGACACAGCACTGCTCTCCAGCCCCAACCATGGTGCGTATGGCCTACCATGTATTGGGGTGGGGAGGAGGGATTTTCTGTTACATGAAGCTATAAAACTTTGGTCCCTATGGGTATAGGGCAATGGCAGTGAATGTTGGCACTATATCCACAGGCGCTGGTGATTTTAGCTGATCTCACTCCTGAGTGTGTCAAAGGCACAGAGAACACAGTTGTTACTGGTTTCCTGAAGCCACTGAGGCCCATATACTATGAGCCTGTTTACTGCAATAGTGCCATCCAAACTCATCATAGAGTGGCATGGAAAAGTATCCTACCATGGAGGAAGAAATAAGGCAGCTATCCTTAGAAAACTTATGGAGATCCTCTGCAGTCCTCACCCAGAAAATTGAACTGAAATCTCTAGGAGGATAAAACAGCTATCCCCATGTACATAAATGAAGTGCTTGTATAGCCCCTCTCCAGCCTACCCCAATAGGGGAAAGAAAAGCAGTTGCCAACTTTACCTCCATCTGTTGTGTCTCTACTTCTTCTCATAAGAGTAAAATAATGAAAAGTCAGTATCTTTTTTCTTGTTAACGTGGGGATGGGATGGGTGCCGTCTTTACATTTAAACATTGTAAGGAAAAACGAATAGACACACTTACCAGAGTTCCCTTCCCCTTCATCAGGCTCATCTGCATTTGCCTGGTGACACTGGCTAGACTGTGGCAGTCTCAAATAGCTCCTGGCTTCCATGACTGGAATCTACCACTTCTTCCTCTTCCTTCTCCCCGCTGTTCAAGGCAGGGGTCCCTGTCTCAGGGTCCTTCAGGTATCCACAGTGGTCTGAAGTGTGCTGGTGGGGTCTCTGCAAAGCATGGCATGTAGTTCCTTGCAGAAACAGAAAGTCTGTGGTGAAGCATGCAGATCTACTGTTGTGCTCCCTCACCTTCTGGTTTCCCTGATGCCAGTGCCTTTCCTTTCACACCGCACTGCTCCTGATTCCTGTCATACCCCTTTGCCTGGGTAATCTGCTCACATGTAAAATGTCCATGTTTCTACAGGTGCCCTGTAGGTGTGAATGCACAGGAGAACCATTAGTTCCTGTCTGATCCAGGCAGGAGCACAACTAGTGCGCGGAGCTGCCATGGTCAGCTGGGCGGTTGCACACAACAAGGGTGAGCTACTAGCAGAGGTGAAAGTGGGTCAGTACGGTGTACTGGTAAGAAGTTGCCACCGGTATGGGCCTGTACACAGCCAATGTTAAAGCGCTGCTGTGGCAGAGTTTCAAGGACTCTCCTGGGAGGGCTGCCAAAGGTGTTGGGGGGAAGGGGCAGCTCTCCAGGGCCTGGTGATTTAAAAGGACCTGGGGCTCCCACGGCAATGGCTGGAGCCCTGGGCGGCGCAGAAGAGTTGGCTGGTGGAGGCTGACCCCCAGCTCCGCCTCTTCTGGGGTCCCAGAGCCAGGCCCCATACAGGTGAGAGTTTTATGTTACTTTCACCCCTGGCTGCTAGGTATGCTTGCCAAGGTGGGCAATCAGGAAAAGGCATTTCAAAAACACAGGGGAGGTTGTAAAGGCAGGAGGGTGGTTTCTGGTCGGTGAGCCTTGAGCAGTGGAGTTTAAAAGTGTGACTAGCAGTCAGTGTAATGGAATGGGGCAGTGTGGGCCAGCTGCTGGAAGACTGGGAGGGTCAACACAGGTCCTGCAGTGACTACACAGGCACCGCGTCCTCCTCAGACGGTCGATGATGCCTCTACCCTGTTGAGAGGGTGGTTTTCCTGCATGTTGCTGCTACAGGGGCTGGAAACAAATTTGAGCAGACACATCCACAAATAGGTCACTGCAAGGGAACGAGCAGCGCCCAGCCTCGCTAGGGGAAGCTAGTCTCTCACGCTGACAGAAGCAGCACCAGCTACATCCAAAACTGCAGCTACTGGGGCGGGTGTGACACCCCACTGCCAGGCTACTTCCCCCAGGGGAAGAGCAGACAGCTCAGCAGAGCTCTGGCAGGCAAGCCGAGCTCGCCTCTCCTCCCTGCAAGTAGCCAAAGCCCCTGCATCCCGGAAGAGGCTGAGGCGGAGGGAGCAGAAAGAAGCGAGGCAGAGCAGCCAGCTGTGAGTAAAGAGATCCCGCCGCAGCTGCTCCCGCAGGAGAAGGGCGAGCCCCAGCCCCCAGGAAGCGCAGTGGCGGCGGGGCAAGGCGTATGGTCGCACTGATTGTCACAGAAGAGGGGCGGGCAGTGGCTGTTGTCAGACCCCACTCCGCACGCAGAGCCGGAGTCTTTCACCCCCTCTCCCCACGCGGCTCCCCCTGCTCTCAAATGGCGACTTGGGTCGCACAGGGGGCGGGCCAGAAGGTGGGTCTCATCGATGGCTCGGCGGTCTGGGCTAGCGGCGAGGGGAGGAGGAGGAGCCGAGCGCCGGCCCGATCGATGGGCTCGCGAGAAATGTCTCGCGGAGGGTGAGGCGGCCATTTTAGATGGGGAGCGGAACGAACGGCGCCGAGTGAGGAGCGAGGCCGGGGGAGCCGTGGAACCTGCGTGAGGGAGGTACGGGCAGTGCGGGGACCATGGTCACTGAGGGGGGTGGAGTGACGGGGGTTCCC